AGCAGCAATGAAAAGTGTGCTACCGTAATATCCCGAGTAATCGCCCATCCCAGAGTCATCGCCCACCCCATTTTTTTAGCCAATATCGATTTCGAAATAAACACCGAGTCATCGCCAACCCCTTCAAATACCTTAACGCGGACTGTGTGATCCGCGAAAACTCATCCTACCCGAATGACGCGGCCGCGGACCTCACACTGCGAGGACGTACAGTACGTGACAAAAGTAAAACGATGGAGGGAAAGACACTTCTTTTTGTTTGCGCATTTCCTTCGCGAGCGGCCCTGAAATCATAGTGTATCTGTGCGAAAAGAAAACGATGGAGATAACAAAATAAGTTTGTCTTGCTTACAAAAAAAAAAATCAACCTACACAAAACTTGTCGGAAAGATAACACAAGCAGTAACTCATTCAGGGATCGCGAGGCAAGGGAACGCCCCATAGAATGTAACTTCAGAGTGTAACGTCAAAATCTGTCTCCGCCGGAGGTTGCCGCGAACCCGCTCCTCTCTGCACGCCGTGACCGCGGTAGTGCTATGTTTATACAAAGCCAACGGGTAAACAAAGCTTTGCTGGAACGCCGCACACAGACGCTTGCAAAGCGTCCTATTTTGAGCTCCAAACAAGAAATTTTCGCTTGAGCTTGCGATTAACAAGGGGCTCGACTTGGCCCGACGCCAAAGTATTTGCCAACGCGATCACCGGCTTTCCCGCTTTCCCAGCATCGCTCTTCGTCGCCTCTTTGCTCCGCTCGCTTTCTCGCTCGTTGCGAGTGGTTAATTTTCTATTTTGTTGTGGACTTCTCTTTTTGTAGCGTGAGGTACAATGGCCGAGGTTGAGCAGTTTCGCGTGGCTCGCATAATGAGCCGTGCTCCGTGCTGCGCAAGCGCGAGGAGCAGTGACGCCACACGGCGCACAGCTCGCGGGGCGGAGCCGCCGTCGCCGCGGGCTCCGCCGCCACCGCGAGTGCCTCACCGGTCTGCGCAAGCGCGAGGAGCAGTGACGTCACACGGCGCACAGCTGGCGTGCCGGAGCCGCCGCCGCCGCGGGCTCCACCGCCACCGTTTGCGCCTCGCCGGTCTTCGCATTCCAGAGGAGTGACGTCATAGCCGCGGCAGACGCACTGGTGCCGCCGCGTGCCCAGCTGTGTGCCTCCGTTGCGTAGTAGCCAAGTTGGACGCGGCACCGGAGCTTCTTGATAGCGCCTCTCATTTTGTCCGTAAAAGCTCCCGCTAGATATATCCTGGCATAGCCGAGCTAAGCCACCGCAATTTTTTTTTTTTATTTTTGTTTTACGAACGAGGAGAAAATAGCGGTGGCGTGCCTTCACGGAAGAAACGGTCGCGCTGCATTCAGATCGCCGGGGTTCATAGCGCGTATGCAAGCAACGGACTTCGCGCTAGTAAAACGTTTTTTCATGAGCATTTTTTGTATAAAGCAATAAAACTAACTCAAGATTTCAGTTTGATGTTTCTTTTGTGCAGTCGCGCTAATATGCACTAAAAACGGGCCCTTTTTCCGCTTTTTCACCTTTTTGTGCTGAGCCACCGAGAAAGGGCCCACCCCACTTTTTTATGAATTTCAGGCAGTAGGGGGTGGGCAATGACTCGGGTTATTCCAGCTTATGTTTTGGTGTATCTTCGAAATTTAGATATCTGATGTAGAGGTGCCTTTCGAATAGTGTTTATCATGTGCATTCTCTAATGCTTGAACAAAACTTTGTTGTTCTGTTTTTAATATGCCGCCAGCATCAAGAACTTGTATGATGGCGAGGCTACCTCGTTTTTCTAGTAAAGGGCGACAGACACCTTTTCGTGACGTTACAAACAAAAGTTGGCATCAAAGTAGAAGAATAAATTACAACTTGCCCGAGGATTCCAGGAAAATATAAAAGCCAGCAGGTTCGTGCAACTGACAGTCCCGAAATTCATGGTTTTTCAGATAAATTAGAGTCCGCAAAGTAGTTACTGCCATGCGTTTTTCGGATTTCATAAGATTTATACGAAGACGCTATAAGCTAATTCAAAATGCGCATCAACACATAATATTGCCGCGCCCAGGGCTGAGAAAGCAACGCTCGGTCACGGACCTCTAGAAAGTTCTCGTTTATTCATGTACCGCACGTAACTTCTATCATTTATTCCTGCTTTTGTTTTCTAGAAAGTGCGTGTTCATTCTCGCTCGATCACGCGACGCTCGAGCCGCTTTCGCCGAATCTTCGAGATAGCGACGCACTCTAGATAAGAGGCCGCCCGCGACCTTGTCAAGTCAGTCTCGCCCTAGCGCTCGATTCTGCTGACACGCCGACTTCGACACCCGCGACGCTCTGCTTTCTTCCGTCTCCTTCTTTATTTTTGGCACAAGTTCGCCACATTAAACGTTTATTTATTCCTGTTTATTTCTTGTTTATTAGTCACCACCCGTGACTTTTTTTTTTTTTTTTAAGACAGGAATAAATAAACGTTTAATGTGGCAGGAATTCGACGTAACCATTGTCAATAAGTCTGGCCGCAAGCATAATGACGCTGACTGTTTGTCTAGGGCTCCAGTCGAACCTCCAATCTCCGGCGCGGACGACGATGACGACGCCCGTTTTCTAGGCGCAGTTAATGCTACCGACATGAGGGCACTGCAACGCGACGACGCGGAACTTAGCTCCGTAATCGACAGCCTCGAAGGTCGAGGAGGCTCTGTCCCACGGGTCTTTTCTCGGGACCTACCGAGCTTTGTCCTGCGGCGAGGCGTGCTCTTCAGAAAGAATTTCGGAACCAGCGAAACCCCCTGGCTACTGGTTGTCCCCGCCAGCCTCCGAGAAGAAATTTTTCAAGCGTGCCACGACGACCCAACGGCCGGACATCTCGGCTACAGCAGGACCCTTGCCCGGATTCGTGACAAGTACTACTGGCCAAAGCTTCCGAAGACCGTCCATCTCTACACACGATCGTGCCATGAGTGCCAGCGACACAAGAAACCACCGTCAAAGCCAGCAGGTCTCCTTCAGCCGATTACCCCGCCAACCAAGCCCTTCCAGCAAATTGGAATGGATTTGCTGGGTCCTTTTCCACCGTCGACGATGGGGAACCGCTAGATAATCGTCGCCACCGATTATCTTACTCGTTACGCCGAGACGAAAGCCCTTCCTTCGGGGACTGCTGTCGAAGTCGCCAAGTTCTTCATCGAGTCCATCGTCCTCCGTCATGGCGCCCCCGAAGTACTGATCACAGACCGAGGGTCATCGTTTATGGCACAGTTGACCCAAGAGATCCTGCGTCTAAGCCACACCGAACACCGTCGAACAACGGCATACCATCCGCAGACCAATGGGTTGACGGAGCGGCTCAACAAAACAATCGCCGACATGGTCTCTATGTACGTCGACGTGGAGCACAAGACCTGGGACGAAGTGCTGCCCTACGTCACGTTCGCCTACAACACAGCAGTGCAAGAGACCACAGGAGTGACGCCCTTCCAGCTGGTGTATGGCCGGGCGGTGACGACTATGCTAGACTCTATGTTGCCGCACGAGTCAGTCGACGACGGGAGCGATGACGCCCAGGTGGTTGCTCAACGGGCAGAAGAGGTCCGCCAGCTAGCCAGACTACGAATTCAAGACCAGCAACATATCGACGCTCGCCGGTATAATCTTCGTCGCCGCGACGTCCACTTCCAGCCCGGAGACAGAGTTTGGGTGTGGACGCCGATTCGTCGTCGCGGTCTCAGCGAAAAACTTCTGAAGCGCTACTTTGGGCCCTACAAGATCATCCGACGCCTCAGCGATCTGAACTACGAAGTTCTACCCGACGGAACGCGCCCATCTGCAAGACGTCAGCCGCGACCCGAGGTGGTGCATGTCGTCCGGCTGAAGCCGTATTACGAACGATAGGACTCTCCACTCTCGTCGACGAGTGAACTGTGGACTGTGAACTCCGGCTAGCAATTCTGCTGTCCTTTTGTTTTTTTGTTTTCCGTTTTTGTGCTGCATCGGGACGATGCACTTTTAAAGGGGGGGATAATGCCGCGCCCAGGGCTGAGAAAGCAACGCTCGGTCACGGACCTCTAGAAAGTTCTCGTTTATTCATGCACCGCACGTAACTTCTATCATTTATTCCTGCTTTTGTTTTCTAGAAAGTGCGTGTTCATTCTCGCTCGATCACGCGACGCTCGAGCCGCTTTCGCCGAATCTTCGAGATAGCGACGCACTCTAGATAAGAGGCGGCCCGCGACCTTGTCAAGTCAGTCTCGCCCTAGCGCTCGATTCTGCTGACACGCCGACTTCGACACCCGCGACGCTCTGCTTTCTTCCGTCTCCTTCTTTATTTTTGGCACAAGTTCGCCACATTAAACCTTAATTTATTCCTGTTTATTTCTTGTTTATTAGTCACCACCCGTGACAATATGTTATAGGGCTAGCTCATGCGAAAAATCTCCAACGGTTGCTTGCAACGTTCGCTTGCAATGTTGGACCGTTAAGCCTTGAACTGTGATGCAATCTTCTCTCTCTCCCTCCCCGCCACCCCCCTCCCTCCCATCCCAGGATCTTTTGTGTCGTCTTCCGGTACAACTCGCTCCTCTCCGCTCCTCCCCGTCCGCTCTCCTTTCAAAGGATCTTTCGTGTCGTCGTCCGGGCCCCTCGTTCTCCCCCTTCTTTGCCAGTGTCTTTCGTGTTGTTTCAAACTGGCTTATATAAAAAAGATCGAGGTAACCTTAGCATTCCTTATGAGTTGTGAATGCGAAAGCATGCAAGCCGCTCGTCCGCCCGCTTTTACAGCGGTGCTGTTAAGGGCTAGGGCTAAGGGCTGTTAAGGGCTAGCTGTGTCACGCATGTGTGTTGCTGACTTGCATTCGGGTGACTAAAGCATCTCACTCATGTCCTGAAAACGACCAATATTAGAAAATGATTTCTGGAAAATCCTGCCTTCTTCTCAGAATCTTTCCTCATTATTGCTTGCCTTTTGTTACAAATTGATCTCTGAGATGATGTCTATCTGTCGGAAACAAAGATGGGACACCTTCTGAAGCTTCCGACTGACCCAAGATTTACAAAAGATATAATGAAGTCTATCTGGTCTGTCGGGAAGCTGCAGCAACGCAGCGTTAAGGGCCAAGCCAGCCGTCGCTTCGCCAAAGTTGAAGCTGTAGCCAAGCAAGCCCTGACGCCAGGGAAGGCAGCAGCAATGAAAAGTAAGCTACCGTAATATCCCGAGTAATCGCCCATCCCAGAGTCATCGCCCACCCAATTTTTTTAGCCAATATCGATTTCGAAATAAACACCGAGTCATCGCCAACCCCTTCAAATACCTTAACGCGGACTGTGTGATCCGCGAAAACTCATCCTACCCGAATGACGCGGCCGCAGACCTCACACTGCGAGGACGTACAGTACGTGACAAAAGGAAAACGATGGAGGGAAAGACACTTCTTTTTGTTTGCGCATTTCCTTCGCGAGCGGCCCTGAAATCATAGTGTATTTGTGCGAAAAGAAAGCGATGGAGATAACAAAATAAGTTTGTCTTGCTTACAAAAAAAAATCAACCTACACAAAAAAATGTCGGAAAGTTAACACAAGCAGTAACCCATTGAGGGATCGCGAGGCAAGGGAACGCCCCATAGAATGTAACTTCAGAGTGTAACGTCAAAATCTGTCTCCGCCGGAGGTTGCCGCGAACCCGCTCCTCTCTGCACGCCGTGACCGCGGTTGTGCTATGTTTATACAAAGCCAACGGGTAAACAAAGCTTTGCTGGAACGCCGCACGCAGACTTTGCAAAGCGTCCTATTTTGAGCTCCAAACAAGAAATTTGCGCATGAGCTTGCGATTAACAAGGGGCTCGACTTGGCCCGACGCCAAAGTATTTGCCAACGCGATCACCGGCTTTCCCGCTTTCCCAGCATCGCTCTTCGTCGCCTCTTTGCTCCGCTCGCTCTCTCGCTCGTTGCGAGTGGTTAATTTTCTATTTTGTTGTGGACTTCTCTTTTTGTAGCGTGAGGTACACTGGCCGAGGTTGAGCAGTTTCGCGTGGCTCGCATAATGAGCCGTGCTCCGTGCTGCGCAAGCGCGAGGAGCAGTGACGCCACACGGCGCACAGCTCGCGGGGCGGAGCCGCCGTCGCCGCGGGCTCCGCCGCCACCGCGAGCGCCTCACCGGTCTGCGCAAGCGCGAGGAGCAGTGACGTCACACGGCGCACAGCTGGCGTACCGGAGCCGCCGCCGCCGCGGGCTCCACCGCCACCGTTTGCGCTTCGCCGGTCTTCGCATTCCAGAGGAGTGACGTCATAGCCGCGGCAGACGCACTGGTGCCGCCGCGTGCCCAGCTGTGTGCCTCCGTTGCGTAGTAGCCAAGTTGGACGCGGCACCGGAGCTTCTTGATAGCGCCTCTCATTTTGTCCGTAAAAGCTCCCGCTAGATATATCCTGGCATAGCCGAGCTAAGCCACCGCAATTTTTTTTTTCTTTTTGTTTTACGAACGAGGAGAAAATAGCGGTGGCGTGCCTTCACGGAAGAAACGGTCGCGCTGCATTCAGATCGCCGGGGTTCATAGCGCGTATGCAAGCAACGGACTTCGCGCTAGTAAAACGTTTTTTCAGGAGCATTTTTTGTATAAAGCAATAAAACTAACTCAAGATTTCAGTTTGATGTTTCTTTTGTGCAGCCGCGCTAATATGCACTAAAAACGGCCCTTTTTCCGCTTTTTCACCTTTTTGTGCTCAACCACCGAAAAAGGGCCCACCCCACTTTTTTTTTAATTTCAGGCAGTAAGGGGTGGGCAGTGACTCGGATTATTCCAGCTTATGTTTTGGTGTATCTTCGAAATTTAGATATCTGATGTAGAGGTGCCTTTCGAATAGTGTTTATCATGTGCATTCTCTAATGCTTGAACAAAACTTTGTTGTTCTGTTTTTAATATGCCGCCAGCATCAAGAACTTGTATGATGGCGAGGCTACCTCGTTCTTCTAGTAAAGAGCGACAGACACCTTTTCGTGACGTTACAAACAAAAGTTGGTATCAAAATAGAAGAATAAATTACAACTTGCCCGAGGATTCCAGGAAAATATAAAAGCCAGCAGGGTTCGTGCAACTGACAGTCCCAAAATTCATGGTTTTTCAGATAAATTAGAGTCCGCAAAGTAGTTACTGCCATGCGTTTTTCGGATTTCATAGGATTTATCCGAAGACGCTATAAGCTAATTCAAAATGCGCATTAACACATAATATGTTATAGGGCTAGCTCATGCGAAAAATCTCCAAAGGTTGCTTGCAACGTTCGCTTGCAATGTTGGACCGTTAAGCCTTGAACTGTGATGCAATCTTCTCTCTCTCCCTCCCCGCCACCCCCCTCCCTCCCTTCCCAGGATCTTTTGTGTCGTCGTCCGGTACAACTCGCTCTTCTCCGCTCCTCCCCGTCCGCTCTCCTTTCAAAGGATCTTTCGTGTCGTCGTCCGGGCCCCTCGTTCTCCCCCTTCTTTGCCAGTGTCTTTCGTGTCGTTTCAAACTGGCTTATATAAAAAAGATCGAGGTAACCTTAGCATTCCTTATGAGTTGTGAATACGAAAGCATGCAAGCCGCTCGTCCGCTCCCTTTTACAACGGAGCTGTTAAGGGCTAGTTAAGGGCTACATCGACTGTCCCCGCTGCGGGAGTTCGATGCAGAAAAACAACGCTCCTATACTATTACATATGATTTTCAAGGGGATGTCTGGACTGCCCAATATAAACAATAATTCAAAATACCTGGGTGTGATATAACCAGGCTCGACTGTACTGATCCAATTTTCTTTCAGACGCCTTGAGCTACTATGTCTACCAGAATCCGAACCCCATGGCTGTCAACCTCCAAGAGGGCCACGCTGTTCGTGTGGGGCAGATGAACATCATGAGAAAGTTTCTCTCGGATCTGGGCCACACTGCACTGTGAATGTTTTTTTTTTATTTTAGTAGAATTTAATTTACCTTTACGGTTTTATATTGTGCCATACACTTCATCTTTGTGATTGTCTAGTCAGACTTTTTAATCTAGACAGCGCGCTGCCTCGGGCATAGTAGACCGACAAGCGTCACACCGCACTATAATTGTTTTTTTTTTAATTTTTTTAATCTATATTTTACCTTCCATTCGAGTTCTGCGGACGCTACCAGCCACCCCAGCCAATCCAGGGTTGAGAGTGTCCCGTTTCCCTGAGCTCTGCCTAACCAGAACGTCACGTGATACCCCCCTGGCGCTGCATTGCCTAGGGTCGCGGAAGGTGAAACAATGTGTTAACTTTAGGGCTTTATGGTGCTTCACATACTGAATGTTTTTATTGTCTAGTCAGATTTACTTCTTACCTTGTTTAATATCTCGCGTATACATTATAGGCAGCTCGCAATGTTTTTTGTTTCTTGTCTAGTCAGACTCTACTTAGAGTGTTATAGTGTTTCAAGCATATTTTGAACATGCCCGAAAATTTTAATATGAATAAGACATATCAAAGTTTTGGTAAATTCGGGCTTGTAATCAATATTCGGAGATTCTAAAAGGCTTCTTTTGTTGTTTACCTCTTAGGATAAGGTAAAGTAGGTTATGGGCGAGGTAAGATTTTCGAAATAAACATGGTTTCCTTAAATTTTCTACAATTTGGAGCATGACCTCAGCAAAACAAGGTTATTCAGCCCTGGATTTACCAATCCTTAATATGTTATTTATTCGTGTTAAAATATTCAGGCACATCCAAAATATTACCGATATCGCCAAGGTTTTGGCATGGAATGACCCTATACAAAACCACTAAAGGATTCTTTAAAACTTTCGATGCATATAAACTTTTGTGACAGTTTATGGCCTTTGTTTTCAATAGGGTGAAACTGGGCCAACCAGTTTGTACCGGTTTCACCCACCAGTTGTACTGGTTTCACTGGTGAAACCCGTACAACCGGTGTACTTGTGTGACCAGTATGGCTGGTTTTATCATATGCCCAGTAAATCCAGTATTACCAGTGCACCCAGTATACCCATGTTCGATAATTCAGTTTGATACTGGTCCAGTACTGCCAGTAAAGCTACCAGTATTCCCAGTATACCCATTCAATAATCCTGTTAGATACCGGCCCAGCGTTCCCAGTAAACTTGTACCAGTATTCCCAGTTTGCCCATCCAATAATCCGGTTTGCTATTGGGCCAGTATGCTGAATTAAGCATTTTTTTTTTCAGTAGTGAAGCTGGTGAAACCGTTCTTGATGGGGGCGTGCATGCCAAAATCAGCTAGAGCTGGTCGAACTGGCATTGCTGGGGCACGCCCGCCAAGGTCGGCTTGGGCTGGGACAAGGACACGTCCTGTTCCTTGCTCTCTCGTTTTTGGTAGACGACCGGGTGCTTCAGCCGCGCTGCGAGCTGCATTTGTGTGCGATAAAGGAAGAGGGGGAGAGGTATGAACGGAGAATTTGAGACACGTTTGGCTAGCTTGGGCAGATTTCTAAAAAGATGGCTTTGTGCGGGTTATTTGGAGACTACTTGAACGGCGGTGCAAGCGAAGCGGGTTTTCAGTTCATTTAGCGCGGGAAGAAGTCGGACTTCCCAACTGAGGCGTCACTTTGTGCCTTGGAACGTGTGTGCGCTCGTGGAAGATGGTGGTGCTGAGGAGTATTGCAAATGCCATCCAAGCCACACGAGTTTTCTCGCCCCTGCCGAATAGGCGAGAGGCCACTTAGCCCCCATCACTGGCCCAGGTTCACTTTTTTCATTTGAATAATATTTTTATATTGCTAATGCCTGTTTTGGCATGTGTCTAGTATTTTTAAAGTTAAAAATTACGCAATCAAAATGTAATAATATTGTTTGTAGTCCACTGAGAAATACTGTCTGTGCGTCGGTTAGTACTGTGCCAGAGTCGATAATGTGTATAGTATCTGAACTCATGTGAGCAGGTCGCGAATTGAAAAATAATAAATTGGATGCAGAGTTTGCTTTTCTGAGAGTTGGCTTGTTTATCCTGTGTATCGATTTAAACTGGGTTAAACTGGTACGGAGTCCACCAGCATGACCAGAATGCCAAACTGGGCATGCTGGGGCAATAACTCAGCTTGAAGTTGGGACAAGATCAACCAGCATGAGCAGTATGACCAGATCAACCCGCATGCCAAACTGGGAATGCAGGAGCAATAACCAAGCTTGAAGCTGGGACCAGCTTAAGCTGGTTTTTCGAATAGGCAAGCCGGAAAGTACGGTGTTCATTACGCGCTAAAAGGTCGCCAGTGCTGTGCATTGTCCAAACAGCACCACTTTAAATTCGTAGAGTCCGTCCGGCGTGAGGAAGGCAGCCTTCTCACGATACCGTTTGTCGACCTCGATCTGCCAGTACACACTCTTCAGGTGCATCGACGAAAAGTATCGGACGTGGCGATGCTGATCCAAGGTTTTATGGAAGCTTGGCAGCGGGTAGACGTCCTTTTTTGTTACAACGTTTAGTCGACTATAGTCCACACAAAACCAAAGACTCCCGTCTTTCTTTTTCACCAGGACTACCAGTGATGCCCATAAACTGTTTGAGGGCTGGATAATGTCATCGTCGAGCATTTCTTCAACCTGCTTATGGATGACTTCTCTCTCTTTCACAGAGACACGGTACGGCGACCGATCAACAGGAAGCGCATCGTCATCAGTAACAGTTCGACGTTTTGAAACCGTCGTTTGGCGCACCTTTGACGACGTGGAGAAGCACTCACTGAACTTGGCGAGTAGGTTACTGAGTTGTCGTCGTTGTGGGGTAGGCAGGGTTGAATCGACGTTGAACTGCGAAGGCGGTGTTGTCTTGTGTGGCCACGAAGAGAGGTCTTCTGCTATTCCGGCGATTGCAGCTGGGTCCGGGAGCTCCTCACTGTGACCCACGGTGGTGACTTTTTTAAGGTGCCGAGCCTCCTGTCGAAAGCTCATTACGAGTGCAACAGTGTGTCCGTCTTGGAGCTCCGCGATGCCTCTTGCGACACCGATTCCTCTTCCTAGGAGCCGTTTGACGCTACCTTCCAGCAGAGTTCTTCTGGAGATTCATTTTTCGGTCCTGACAGGCGCGGGTACACTCGAGCATGGTGGTAAGTTCACGTGGTCGGAGAGTACACGCACTGTAGCTGGCGTGGCTGACGTAGTTTTCTGATCCTCGGGCATTGTGACACGTTTCCGCAGCCTCAACTCGTTGGCTCTCAGGTCGATAACAATGCCGTATTCGCACACGAAGTCTATTCCGAGTATAATGTCTCTCGCACAGTCTTGTAGAAGGACGAACTTTATCGGACACACCTAGCCGTGAATCTCGACGCGAGCAGCGCATCTTCCGACTGGCGTGATAAGATGTCCCCTGGCGGTCCGTATCAGTGGGCCATCCCACGGCGTCGTCACTTCCCGAAGGCGTTGGGAAAGCCTCCAACTCCGGACGGAGTAAAGTGCTCTGGTGTCATCTAGAGCCGAAGCGTCATGGCCGTCGATAACGACGTTTAGGTTATTCTTTACCATTGCAGGATTGTCGTTTCGGTCCCTGGTGGCGTTCAAGTGGGGCCCTCCGATGTTCGTGGAGGATTTTGGTGTCGGTCGTCTTCGGAAACTTTGCGTCCAGGGGATGCCGCGACTAGTTTCCCTGGCGAGGAACGAGGGACTACAGGTTTTTACGTCGGGGTCGGTGCATCGGCGAAAATGGACGTAGCGGCGAAGGCGACCGAAACTCTCAGCGCGACGCAAGCTCGGGGGACTGAGGTCGTCGCAGGTACTCGTCGATCTTCCGAAGGCGTTCGCCATAACGTGGGTGGGGGTCGTTAGGGTGGAACCCACGCAGCACGAGTCGTCGGTATGCGTTCGACAGTAGGTGTGGTCTGCTTCCCCGCAGTAGAAGCGCAAAGGGCGACAGTCGGGCGTTCGCCACACGTCGGTCTTCCAGGATATGCGGGGCTCCTGGCAGGCGTATTGGACCTGGTCATTGTGGCGTCAGTCATGCTGCGGCGCAGGAGACTGACGTTGGAGGGATGCAACATAGATGCGAGAAGGAGGCGGTGACCGTCGGGCCACTGCGGTGTAAGTCAATGTGGGTTCCTCGGGGGTTGCCACAAAGACGAGTGCCTTTGGTTGGATGGCTTTCTGGACTTCTTCCCGCACGGCCTCGGCGATAGAAAGGGAAGCTGGTCGGTCAGCGGCAGGTAGAAGCTTTCGAAGCTCTTCCCGAACAACGTCACGGATGATCTGCCAAATGGCTGGGATGCTGGAGCCCAGGTCGTAGCTTGACGGCACGAAGGCAGCGAGGCCGGGTGGTCGCTGGTAGTTACTGGCTCAGGCTTGTAGGGCACTCTCAATGTTCATCGCCTCGGTGACTATATCTTCAACTGTTGTTGGAAGGTTGCGGTCAAGGCCGCCGGAAATTTTGTCTCTCACGCCCCGCATAAGGATTAATAGCTTCTTCTCTTCTGTATTTCGAGGGTCGGTGCGGGCGCTCAGGCGCAGAGTTTCCTCCATGAAGCCGGTGGTAGTCTCGTTGGGGCCCTGGGTTCTGGTTCGCAGTAGATCCTCAACTATCTCTCAGCTGTGGTGGTTGATAAATGCGCCCTTCAGCTCGCTCGTGAGAATGTACCACGATGTCAAAGAGGAGTCATGGTTTTTAAACCAGTGCTTGGCAGTCCCCTCAGGCAAAAAATAGACGTTGTGCAGACGCTGCTCGTCGGTCCAGGCATTGTGGTGGGCAGCGCATTCGTACTGGTCGATCCAGTCTTCGACATTTTCATATTGCACGCCATGGAACCGAGCAGCCGTCCGCTGTGCGACAGGCAGGCAAACGATTGTGGAAGCGGCTGGGGTCTGCAACTGGTCGGCCATCATCGTCTTCTTCAACTTGGGCTTGTCCAGCAGAAGACCAAATTCAGGAGGCTGTCCCTGGGTGCTCAGCTTTCCGGGGTTTAAGAAAGGTT